CTGGGAAATTTCTCTTTCTTTCTTTCTTTCTTTCTGTTCTTTCTTTCTTTCATTAATTAATTAATTTATGCCTCATGTTTCCTGTAAGTAGCTGCTAAAATCAGCTTACAGGAGGTCAATTTGTTGTGGTTGCTAGGATGTGCAAAAGATACTAGTGAGTATTTGCTTATAAAAAAAGGTACATGCTAGGAAAAGCCAGACCTTGCTTGTTTCATTTATTTATTTATTTGGCATATTGGTTGCTTCAGTTGTAACCAGCTCTAAGCTCATTTGTATCTATGTTACTCTTTAATACTGTTGTTTTATTCATCTTATATTTTCATAGAAACAGACTCATATTTTTCTATACACGTTGCATGCTTGACATTTCTTATATGAGAGAAAACAAAGAGGCCTCAGTCCATCAGTAACCTGATTTATGAATTTCTTTTATTTATCAATTTGTATGCCACATAGAGTTACTCTAGTGACTGAGGCAATATACAGACTGATAAATAAATAACATAAATAACTGAAATTAATGTTTGACCATTATAGCCATGCAGCCAGTCATATAGACTGAAAATAATTTAATGAAGAAATTTAAATATTTAAAAAAGAATAAAATTGCATTTTAAGGGAATCAATGAGTAATTTGTTCTATAATCTCTCTCTTTTATAAAAGGCCAACTATTAAAAAGAAATTAGTAGCATGCTTTTCATTAAAAAGGATTTGAAGAGATTTCTTTAACTTCTTGCTGAACTATATCTGATTTATCAATTATTAGTTTTTTGTTTCATATTTCTCCATATTACCTTTCTTCAGTGAGCAGATAGTAGATCTTTGTGGAGTAGCCTCCAACAATTTAGGAAAGTTATTTGAGCCAAGATGGGTGGCATACAAGTTTGATTTATAAATAAGTAAGTAACCTGCCCCAAAGCATTCAATATTCTTCTCAGCTCATTAGCAATTATGAACCAGAATCCTTCAAGTTCTGCACGAGGAAGGTTCCCTCCCTCCCTCCCTCCTCCCCCTCTCTTCTCCCCGTCTTTCATATACAGACACAGCCAAAATGATAAGAAAAGATGAATACAAAGCAAAGCAAAGAAACTAGGGTATATCTGTCTGCATCTGGCCAATGACAACATAAAATAGACACATGCATGTTGTATTGTCAGTAGTAAATTTCCTAATCTCAAGACTGATGAATGAGAGATAGTAACAGCAAGCAAAAATATAATTGATTTAGGGTTTTTTTTAAACCCAGAAAATAATACATTTATAGAAACAACTCGGTCTGCAAGTATGGGAGTATGCTTTTAAATTCTGGCCAAAGCTACTCTTGTATCTATAATTTTACAATACCATTTCCAAGCCTCCTTGGAAAGTAAACTTTTAGTTCATGGGTTTGCCCCAGAGTTTGTGCCACAATGGGGTTAGAGAGTGTGTATAGAATAATGATTTGCAAAAAGTATTCCACATATTACAAATGCTCACACATTACAACCTTGGCAGCACCAAGGAATAGGTACGATGCAGTTCATTACCTCTTCAACTTCACCAGAAAAAAGCATTCACTGTGGCCTGTCTAAACTCCCTCCTCTCTGCCTTGCTTGAAGGCAGAGCCTTCAGATCCTCTTTTTACAGCATTTGTATTCATGTGGTGTAGGAAAGACAGAAACAGTGGCTCACATGCAAGTGTCTGTGCTATAAGGATTCTTTTCAAAAACAAGTTGCCCTCCTTTAGCTGGTATGCCTGGCAAGCCTGAAAACTGTTATGCGTGTTGTCTCCTATCTGACCACTTTCTAGAAAGGCCATTGGCTGGTGTGGGTCTTCCAGGCTGTGTGGCCGTGTTCTGGAAGTTTTGTTTCCT